AAAAAAAAAAGACAGTGGTTCTCAACCTTCCTAATGCCACAACCCTTTAATACAGTTCCCCATGTTGTGGTGACCCCCAACCATAAAATTAGTTTTGCTGTTACTTCATCACTGTAATTTTGCTACTGTTGTGAATCATTCATGAAGTGTCCTTTTACCTCCAATGCTGCTGCTTTCAACACAGTAGCTGCTTTTAACAGAGTAGTTCCTTTCACCACAGCAGCTGCTTTCTACACAGCAGCTGCTCTCTACACTTGTGACTGGTCTGCATAAGTACATTATGGCGCCAACCCTGTCACATACACCTGTATTTGTATAGGGTGTAAGTGATGGGGTTGGTGTGATGATGTCATCGCGCCGGGTACTCTTATGTGGGCGTATCTGCATATGGGCGGCCCACCTGGAGATGGATAGAGGAGCAGTATCACAGTTCCTAAGACCATTGGAAATATGTTTTCTGATAGTTTTAGGTGATCCCTGTGAAAGGGTCGTTTGACCCCCAAAGGGGTTGCAACCCATAGGTTGAAAACAGCTGTTCTGAAATGATCTAGGTGAATCCTAATTTTTAAAAAAGAAAAAATAAATTTACTGATTTCCAAAGGAACAGTTCTAACTAAATGTCTTAACCCAAAGCAACCACCTGTATGAAAATCATTGTTACCTACCACTTGTCGTAAGGATTACAGGTCTTTTAGTTGTTGCCATAAATGTTTTAACGGCATTCAAAAACCCAGCATCTTCATCAAAAATTATGTCAACCTACAAACCGTTTATAAGAATGTTAATGCACTGTGTAATAGGATATCACAAAGTAGACAGACAGCATGTCTCCTAAAGATAGAATTTACCTACAGTGTGAATTCAGCCCATGCTAAAAGCTCATAATGTTTTATACTACAAAGGGACGTAATAAATTACCAACTATTGAAGCCAATGAATGTAGCTACCTTAACGGTATATTAGAAGCCCTGGTGGTGCAGTGGTTAAGCACTCAAACACAAGCTGAGAAGTTCACAGATCAAATCCAGTCTCTCAATAGGAGGAGCATGTGGCCGTCTGCTTCCGGAAACATCTGCAGTCTTGGAAAACCTATGGGACAGCCCTTCGCTGCCTTACCAGGTCTTTAGGGCCAGAATTTGACTTGATAGCAATGGGATTCACTGGCTAGGTATGGGTCAGAATGATTTCTATAATAACCGAATAGTCATAAGTAACCGCAAACTGCATCTGTCTACTACTGGAAAACAATCTAGGGTTGTCTGTTTTCATTGCTTTCATCTAAAATACAAATATCCTTGACTTAGCTATTTCACAGTCTTTTGTAGGAAAATAGAATTCATAATCTTTAAAATACGCTTCTAGTATGAAAGCTTACCTCCTCAAAAAGAATAAGAGATGTTGCATTTTTCCTGTTGAGTTCCTCTGCTCCAAATTCTTTGTTTGAATTAGTTATGGTTTTTGTTTGGATAATTGGTTTCTGTTCAAAACTTTTGATTCCTGCATGAGCCAGAATATTAATATTTTAGGCAAATTTATTATGTTTTAGGTAAATATTATTGGTTTCTGTTACAAACTATTTTTATTCCTGCATAAAGAGAATATTAATATTTTAGATAAGCCTCCAGGTTAATAGGATATTGCATTTTTCTACAGAGTATGCTTAATCTGAAATCATTTATCAAAACTGATGTATCAGGACTCTATTTTTAGAAAGGACTTTCAGTGTAGCAAAGGTTATATGAATAGCAATAGGAACTCATGAAACATATTCATCATATATTTGTATATAAGGGTCACCAATATGAAACTATTTCAAATTCATTCTGTCAATGTCTTACCTTTATTATTTTCCTGAAGTGCTGCTATTTCTTCATTATTTTTTTGTTTAGAAGACACTTTAAAATAATTTGCCAAGGTTTGAGGAGGGAGTACTCGCTTTGGTCCACTACTTTTCGGGGAAGATGGAGGAATTTTTCTTGGTGATGTAACAACTTTCTTGGGGGAGCTGAATTTTTCTGCCCAAAAATAAATTGTCTTTAAAGATAATTATTCTAAAAATAAAATAGACATCAAGATAGAGCTATTGCATTCTACATTTCAACTCTTACCAGTTAAAATCAAAGATAAAAGAAACTTACATTCTTATTCTCAAACACCCCTAACATATTACTATATTGCTGCATTTGTTCTACCAAGACAAAAAGTAAAACCATTCCTTTTAAAAAGATACTCTTTTCCAAAGCAGTGCACATTCTTAAAGAATGTTGACACTCCCTCCATTGACTTTCTCTGCTTGAAGTCAAAAGATGATGGAAAATCAGTAACACTACAGTAAGAGCATATTATTGAATTTTGTTGTTCAACTTAGCCACGAAATTAATATTTGTTCTTATTTGTCTTATTTTGACACAGACCAAGAATTGCTCAGTTATTGACCAGCAACAATCAAAAGACTGGTTTTGGAAAACACATGCTGAATTTTATCCAAAAGTACTTGGCAAAATTTGACTAATACACTCTATTTAAAGAATTTTTCCATCAAAAGAATAAGCTTCTTGGAGAAATAGCTAATTGAATGTCTCAGGTAAGGAATGAATAAGGTAGGTCTGGGACATCTTGATACACCAGAAAGAAAACATCAACAACTGTCCAAACCCCAAACCACTGCTAGAGTCAAGTCTGACTCTTAGCCACCCTATATAGGACTCCCAAGGCTGTAAATCTTTACGGGAGCAGATAAACCATTTCTGAGGCTTACAGATTGCTGGGAATATTTTTCCCACCAGTCAGAGCAAAACCTCATCATTCAGCTGGATAGAGAGCCCAGGCTGGAGAGGCACTAGGTAGGGAACTCAGAAGGCTTTGCCTCCCTTTGGGGGCAAAATTAAGTCTACAGTAAATGCTGCTCAGGCCCCACCTAACACAGCTTAAAAGCAGACAAGCACTTCACCACTGGGCTACCAGGCTACCTCCTACACAGCTTAAAAGCAAAACCTGAAAAGATCACTCAGCTTCTAAATAACTACACTGCAGCCCAGAATAAATCTCGAGCATTTACAAAGACTACAGAAATATATTTGTGGTAGTAACATAATCTGGTGTCAACTTGTGAAGGGGTGGAGTCTAGCCTGTCAATAAGGTCACACCTTGATGACCTCATTTGGAGGCGCCACAGTGATAAATAGCTCAATGGAGGCAAGATACACACAGACTCTGCTTCATTTACCTGCTGACAAGACATATGGAGCTACCCTAGGGCCTTGGAGCTGGAGGAGCCACATGGAGACCCACACCAGTGCTTCTACTGCCACTGGATCCACAAGACTTTCCACCCACTGGGCTGTGATCTTCCTGCACTCAGTGTTACTGCATGTGTTGCATGAGCCTGGAGAGGTCTTTATATAGACTGGTATCAGACATATGGGCTAATATCGGACTTATGGGCTTGATCTGGACTGGGTTGGGATGTTTTCTCAATATATAATTGCTCTTTTATATAAAGCTCTTTCTTATATACATGAGTCTTCCTGGATTTGTTTCTCTAGTCTTCCTGGACTAGCACAATACTACACATCAACAAGGTAGATTTCACAAAGTCTGACAGAAATATGTTAAATAATACACTAATGACACCATCAGCAAAAGGTAGGATGTGAACAATTTTATGGCAAATTACCCAAGTTCTTCAATAAGTAAAATGACACACACAAAACAACATGTGAGGAAATTAATATAAAGATACAAAGAAACTTAAGAAACATGAATCAAATATAAACATGGCTCTTGCTTGGACAAACTATTTCAAAGAGAAAACTGTTAACACCCTGGATATTACATTAAGGAATATAATTTTGTTAGATCAGATGATATTGAAGTTGCCTTTTTTAAATGTCCTTATATAGAAGCATTTAGGAGTGAAATGATATATTTTAGGATTTTAAAATAGAAAATGTACATAAAGTTATAAAATGATGAAGTACTAATAAAACTGTTAAAAAAGGAAAAAATATCAATATAAGGAAAAGAATAGCAAGATGCTGATAATAATTTTTTTTATTTAGACACTCTTCCCACCCCATCCCCAAAAATGTCATCTTAAGGAAAATCCTTTACTTACTTGGTGACTTGCCTATGTTGTAGCTATTGAAAAAACACGGCTTTTGTGAGTTCCCACCTTGCTTATCTACTTGATGGGACTGCGTGGCTTCCTTCAGTTGGGATAAGATTTGTCTCCCACTGCGCTGGGAAGAGGCATTCACTTCAAATATCTAAAAGAACAATATACACAAAAAGGGAAATCGGTTTGTGTCTTATCTTAATTCAAAGGCCATCATCCATGAACGTTCTCCAGAGTCGGTCACTAACCTTAAAGCCCAGCTCCTGAGCACACGCGTACACGGCGGCAGTCTTGCCCACTCCTGTGGGCCCTGTTAAGAGCACGGTGTTACACAGCTGACTCTCCTCTTCATCTGAGCTGCCTTTAAAATCTGTGCTGTCCGACAGAGCTGAAAAACCGTTCAAACGCACGTGAAATGACAGTCCCTTGGGCAGCAAGTCTACCTCACAAAACCCAATGATCAAGTCAAAACGTCTTGCCGATAAACCCTGGATTTTTATTTACCAAAAAAATGAAGACATTTTATTAAATCCCATAGCAAATCCAATTCTGAGAACATTAGGTGAACGGGGCAAAAAGTGACTGAAAATACCTTCCGGGTTCTCATCCCTTTTCCCCTTCAAATTCTGTCTTTCTTCCAGCTCAGTTCTTCTTTTCCAGTCTTTCAACCAGCTGCCACGAAAGAAGTACGTTAATAAAAACAGCTCACAGAATAGGGATCTAAACGCCTGCCGGGGGAGTTAGGGCATCTCAGGAGTGCCGAAGTTCTTCAGTGCTTCTGATTCACCTACATCAATGAAGTCTTGAATATTGTGAAATAAAGTCATTTTTTGCCCCAATACAAGAGTTTACGTGTAAAAGAACTCTTAAAAGGAAAATCCAAAAAAATAATAATAATAATAAAAAAATAAAATTAAAAAAAAAAAAAAAAGGAAAATCCTAAAAGTAAAAAACACAGGGAAAGATAATTCATGGTCAACTTAAGTAAGAAAAGAGTCCCTGGATGGTGCAAATAGATAATATACTTGACTGTCAACCGAAAGGCTGAGGTTGAAGTCTACCCAGAAATGCCTCAGAAGACAGGTCCGGCAATTGATTGCCAAAAAATCAGCTGTGGAAACCTAGAAGCACAGTTCTCCTCTGACACCCATAGGTTTGTTTTAGTTGTAATTGAATTACTATATGTAAACACAGTATATAATAAACCAGTACATATCAATTAAAAACAGTTTAGGTAAATTGTGTGGTGACATGAAAGATAGTTAATATACATTAGTAAGTATAAATAGAAAACTTAAGGTTTAGCCCGGAGCTAGATTACAGAGTTCAAACCCAGCCCTACTACTGCCTAACTCTGGGACCTTCAGGAAACCTCTCTGGACCTCAGTCTCCTCATTTATGAGATCAGGAAACTTGTGTACAATTGTTCTAAGGATTAAGAAAGTATAAGTATGTAGAGCAATGCCAAGGTTATAGAATTAGCTATTAATCAAGGTATAATATTACTTGAAGCTAGCAGAGTTTTAGAATTCAGAATTTGGGGGCTTTACAAAGGTACACATACCACATATTACATAATACTCCTGTTGCAGGAGGTAGCGATACATCCAAACCCACTTAGTATCTCCTATCCCTATTTTTTAATTAAGTGGGATAGACAAAGATGAAAATAAACTTTAACCTGTCAGTTGTCAGAACTTTTTAAATTTGTGAAATATATACCAAAAGGTATGTACCCATAGTAATATTAATATGACTCCATTGTTAAGGAAGAAAAAATTGATACATTCATAAAATTTTTCTGAAAGGTTTCACAGGAAACATTAATAGAAGTTAACTATATTCTTTTAGAATTCTTCTGAATTTTAAGAAACTTGATGATCTAGCACTTAACAATTTGTAAATTTTAATACAGAAAAAACTAAATGGTAAATTAATTTCACAGATAATTTCTAAATTATTTTACAAACCTGTGTAACTTTTTTATGACCAGCTCATTGCCTATGAGTTCACTGGAGTTCTGAGGTTGATACTTTTCTGTCCAAAGTGTATCTTCAACTGCAGACTCTAAGGCAAAGAATATAGACTAAGGCATTATTTCTTGATATAAACATATTTTTATAAAATTATGACTGTATAACTACAGGTGTATGCACAAATAGCTATACTGGCAAAATGCCAAGCAAATTAAAAATTTTACATGGAAAATTCTTCATACCAAAATACACTCCTTAACAAAAACTGTTAGGTAGCTAGGGGCAGAACTAGGGCTTGTCCCTCTACACGCCAAAGCCTCCCTCCCCCTTACAGGATGTTGGAAGCTGCTTAAAGCTGGAGGGCATGCTCACATTTAAGCTCCTGGCCAGGAAGGGGTGGTACATCTGGGTGGGACCCCATCCAGGCCAGGTGGGCTTAATTTGGCCAACAGGGTCAACCAGTCTGGGGTTGTCCACACCTCCCAGCAGGGGATGGGGTGCCTGGCGGGCTCTCTCCTGGCAGCTGGAGACTTGGACACAGTTCAGGCTGGCGGGGCTGCACAGCCCAGTGTGGTCTGGCCGCAGTCCTGCACAACCGTGCTGTGGACTCTGGCTAGTGTTCCATTTACCCTAACGCCTGAAACTGCTTCTGACCTTTATAAAACACACTTGCATCACAAACTGGGCTTCAGCGTGAATTCTTTCTAGCGCTAAGCCAAGGACCGAGGGAGATCTAATATAACCAGCACAAAGTGTTGTGAAAGTGGGGTTTCAATGTAAACAGGAAAAAAATTTTAAGAACCACTCAAGAAAGATGAAACATAATTTGAACTAATAGCTGAAAGAGCAAAGGTACATAATCCTAGTGGACCTGACGTTTGGTCACGAAAAAGAAATTGATGGAAACATCTTACAAAGTCAAGCTGAGTAAGTGGAAAGATATGCTATACTCCTCCTTGAGAAAACTAAGCAGGACACACACAGAGACACCCTACCCACCCACACACAACCCACACATTCCCCCCAAGTCCCAATCCTGTTGCTGCGAGTGGATTCTCACTCACAGCAGCACTACAGGGCAGGGTGGAAGCCCACACCGGGCTTCCCAGGCTGAAACCCTCAGGGAAGTAGAGGCCACAACTTCCTCTTAGGGTGGTGGAGGGTTTGAACAGCTGGCTTTTGAGACAGTAGCCAAGTTCGACCAAGGTAACTCTTTGAAAAGCCTGAATATTATAGATATCAATTGACGCCAAATGAATCTACAAACTAAGCAAAATAAAAATTCCAATATTCAGGGCTTGGAAAATGTGACAGTTCATTTAAAATAGAAAGTATGAAAAATATGTATCTAAAAAATATTTTTAAAAGGAAGTAAAAGATTAGTGGACTGAAAACGACAAAACACTGTTGAAAGAATTAAGAAACAAAACAAAAACTCACTGCCAATGAGTGGATTCTGACTCATAGTGACCCTAGAGGGCAGTAGAACCGCCCCTGTGGGTTTCCAAGTCCGTAACTCTTTGTGGCGTAGAAGCCCTCATCTTTCTCCAGCGGAGGGGCTAGGGGTCTCGAACTGCTGACCTTACAGTTAGCAGTGCAATGAATAACCGACTCTGGTATCAAGGCTCCTTTCTTTTTAAAGACAATTGAATGGAAAGGCATCCATTGTTCACGGATTGGGAGACTAAAAGGATCAGTACTACTCAGAGCAATCTACAGGTTCACTGTAATCCCCAGCAAAGAGCCAACAGCCTTTTTTCCTGAAATGGAAATTCATATGGAAGTACAAGGAGCTCTGAGTAACCAAAAAAGTCTAAGGAATCTTAATAAAAAAGAACATAGATTCCTAATACTGATCTCAAAAGTTTCTATAAAGATACAGTAACCTAAGCAGTGTGGTACTGGCATCAGGATAGACAAATAGACAACAAAATATAAAGTCCTGAAAAAAACTCATACATCTATGGTTAGTTGATTTTTCAACAAGGGTGCCAAGACCATGTAACAAATGGTGCTGGGACAACTGGATTTCCGCAAGCAAAATAATGGAATTGGACTTAAACCTCATATCACTTACATGAAATATCTAGACGAGGCAAATTCAGAGAGAGAAAGTAGCTTGGAGGTGACCGGGGGCTAGAGAAACAAAGGGATGGAGCATTACTGTTTCATGGGTACAGATTTGCTGTTTGGGGTAACGAAAACTATGGAAATACTGATGGTTGTAAAATAGTGTGAACGCAATAAATTCCACTGAATTGTATGCTTTTAATAGGTTAAAATGGCATTGTTTGTGTTATATTTTGCCATAAGAAATGAATTTGAATCACCAAATATCAAAACATCCCAAAAGAAAAGCTTTTTATGACATGTTTTGATATTTGGTGAGAATACCTCAAAGCTACCTAAAAGAAAAATGAAGCAATTCAATGGAAATTCTTTGGAAAAGCTATTAAACTAAATAAAAACATGTAAGAGTTATGTGAAACAGGTTAAAACATAATATAGCATGTTCTCAGGCTTAAAAAAAACATATTTATAGAAAAAATAAAACAAAACACACTCAAAGTTTAACACGAATTTGCTAGCTATGCTGACCTCTAATTTGCGAGGCCTTTAAATCCTATTTTACACACAAAGATAAATTTAGAGGGGAAAGGAAAAAGACAGCAAGTTTTTGAACCAGAGGAGGAAAATTAATTTGTCAGGAATAGAAAATATTTCTAGTGAACATTCCTTGTCATCCATCTACTATCCCAGTGGCAAAGCCTCCTGCTTCTGTTACCCCTTCACATGTTTGTTATACGCAAAGCCCTTTGTTATTGGATGGGCTGGAAAACATACCTTTTGAAGAATCTAACTTTATCTCAGAAGATTTGTTTCTTTGGTCCAGTTCTTCTGGTTTCCCGCTTAGCTTCTGTGGACTATCAGAAGAATCATTGGGCTTCTTCCTTTTGGACTTCCGATTTTCGGTTTCAGTGCGTTTCCTTTTGGCTTCTTTCTGATTAACGTCAGGTTCTAGTTGTGAAATATGAGAATGATAGATATGCACGCACTTACTAATGAACAAACAGCACCTACAATCTGAACAAGGAGACATGGTGGCAAATTGTTTAAGGCACTTGGCTGCTAACTACTCCTGTAAGAGTACAGCCTTGGAAGTCCACTGGGGCAGTTCTGCTCTGTCTTATGGGATTGGTACAAGTTGAAATCAACTCGATGGCAATGGGTTTGGTTTTGGGGGTATAATCTTAGTATTATAAACCCTGGGTAAAGCAAATGGCTAAGTGCTTAGCCTCCAACCTAAAGTCTGACAATTGAAACCCACCCAGATTCCTTAGGAGACAGGCCAGGCCACCTGCTTCGGAAAGCCACTCAAGCCGTAAGGAACAGCTCTTTTCTTCACACATGGGGTCACTGGGATCAAAAGTCAGAAGTGGCTCCATGACAACCATCAACAAGAACCTTCCTATCATTTCAAAGCACGAGGTTAAGTTGGATACTATTTCTGTTAGGGTTCCAGTTCATGCTCTCTGCGCGGAACACAGGCAAATTCTCTCAGAAACACACTTGTATTTGCCTCATTAGGGTGGCTTTTAAATAAAGGCTCAATCAAATCAGTGGCTTCTGGGGGAATCTGCTGGGGCACTTCAATTCAAGGCAGAGTGTCAACTCAGGGTAGGGTCTCTGCTGTCATAATTCCAAAAGAAGCAATCTAGTTAGATTTTCCTGAAGGACAAAGAACGATCATGGAGACTTACCAGGAAGAAGTTTTAAGAAACTGGAACACTGCACTGGTGAGAGGGCCAGAAAAGTTGTGCTAAGGAATGTTTTCCCATCACGACAGGGCACCTGCTTCTTCTTCAAAGGTAGCAAGTGATGTCTTATGACAGACACTTACTCTACCCTACAGCCCTGATTTTGACCCCCATACTTCTTTTCAACGCAAAGGACATTTAAAAGAAACACAATTTGAGTGCTTTGAAAGTACCAAAAATACTATTTTTATGGAGTGTAAGTCAAAGAGTCCAGAATTCCTTGGATAAGTGCAAACACCAGCTCTAGAATTATACAGGCCTAGATCAGCAGATCTCAACCTGTGAGCCGCGAGCCCTTTAGGGGTCAAATGACCCTTTCACAGGGGTCACCCAATTCATCACAGTAGCAAAATGACAGTGATGAAGTAGCAACGCAAATAATGTTATGGTTGGGGGGGGTCACCACAACATGAGGAACTGTATGAAAGGGTCACAGCATTAGGAAGGTTGAGAACCACTGGCCTAGATGCAGGGTATGTCAGGAAACAACAGCTTTACATTTTGACGTACTTGCTTAATAAGGGTCTCTATGATTTTGTATCATGACACTGCCTTATCAATAAGAGCATTTTAAGATCTAGCTTGAAGTACACAGCTAACTGTGATGGGATAGTATCTCTACTTTTACAAGGAAAACTAGTTAATACAACTGTTATTCAAATTTATACATCAATCAATAAAGCTAGTCATGAAAAAAACTGAAGAATTCTACCAACTTCTTTTAGAAACTGATAAAAAATAATGGATGATTGGAATTTGAAATTTGGAAGCAAAAAGGAAAGATTGGTTGTTAGAAACTATGGACTTGGTGACAAAAACAAAGCTGGAGATCCGATAATAGTGTTTTGCAAGACCCACAATTTCAATGCAGATGCCCTTCATCAACCTAACAAATACTGACTGTACACATGGACCTTGCCAGATGGAGTACACAAAAATCAAACGGACTCTGGGAAGAGATGATGGGTCTACTCAATATCAGCAGCCAAAACAAGACCAATTGCTCATATGCAAGTTCAAATTGAAGCTGAAGAAAATTAAAACATCAACAAGAGTTAAAATAACACCTTGAACATGTCCCACCTGAATTCAGAGACCATGTAAGAACAAGCTTGACTCAAGATAATGGCAGAAGGTCAGCAGAATTGTGGGATGACATCAAGAGCATCATAACAGATGCTTTTAAAAGACAGCAAAGAAAGACCAATGTAAATGTCAGAAGAGACTATGACATCTGTAGCATATGAGGAAGAACTGATGGGGCTGAAGGGAGAAGGCTAAGCTGCACTGAGGCATTAGCAAAAAGTAAGGTTCTAGGAATTGATGGAACATCAACTGACAACTTTCAACAAACTGGTAAATGCTGGAAGCACTCACTGGAAGGCAGCCACTCGCCAACTGAGTGAATGAGACTGAGAGGACGGCCATGCACCTGAACCAAGCCAGGGTATTTTCAACACCTCTTACTAATGTGAAAGTTGGACAATGAACAAGAAAGCCAGATAAATTAGTAAAGAATGGTGAAATTACTCTAGACTGACAGAAGAACAAATTTGTCTTAGAGGAAGCACAGCCGGGGGCCTTAGAAGCTGAGAAGTGAGGATGGCGAGGCCCAAGCGCATACTTTGAACATTGTATTGGGAATAGCAGTAGTTTAGTGCACCATGCGTAGTACAGCAAAGGTCCGCTGAAAAAGAGGAAGATCTTTGACAAGATGGGCCGGCACAGTGGTTCCAATAACGGGCTCAAATGTAACAACTGTGAGGGCGATGCGGGACTGGGTGCGTTCCTTTCGCTTGTACTTAAGGGTTGCTTTCATGTTAGTGACAACGCTGCCAGCGGTGAGAATGCTCTGTCTATGACAACTACTTCCACGTGTCAATAGCCAAGGCTTCGTATTTTCAAACATATTGTAAGATAAAAAGATAATCATCACCAACCTTGTTTACTGAGACGTTCAGAAAGAGCCACGGGCTCACTTTGTTTTTTTAGAAGCAAAGGGAAATAGTTTTTCAAAGAAAATCCAGGATTTGACCATCTAATCTCCTCTAGCAAAGCGTTCCTTATTTCTTCAGTAAAAGCTTTCCTTGTCGCCATTAACTACAATAAAGATTAAAAGTTTAATTAAAGACCAATACCATCTATTAATGTTAATTATCATGCCACAAGCCACTTTTTACTATAAGTCAACCGCAATGTAGGAATAACTTTAGTCAGTAAATACAACCTTCATAGCAAATCTGCATTTGCAAAGCATTTGAAATATTGAGCTCATACTGTTCTTACTTTTTCAATGCTTAGTACTTGACACAGTTATTAGATTATAATAATGAGGTGTATAATCTAATACTCCTTTGGAACTGACAATTGCTCTTCATTCTTAAAATGTTTCCAAAACTGTCTGAACATTTAAGGGAGACATGTATTTCAATGAGTACTTATTCTTAAAATTAGGCTAGGAAAATGAATTCTACACTATATTCCCCCCCTTGTTAGATAAACACCATCACCAGTTTAAACTCTCAAATACTTACCACAACAGCAGAATGATTGCTTTTCAGATTAGAGTTCAATGTTGAAAATTCACCAAGACCAATAGCACATCTGGAGACATCTACTATTCTAGGATTCAGTTCTTTCAAATTTGTCAAGAGAGGACAAGAGGGTGGTGTCAAATGCCACAAAAGGCACCCTAAGAGAAAACAGAAAAGCCATTTTGCATGCATTTACATAGCATCTATTTATGCAACACTGAGACACTCGACAACAATGACATCGAGACAGAAGCGGACCCAAACCCAAGTGACTAGACAGGGGAGAAAATCCACACTTCCAACAATTACCATGAATAAAATTACCTAGTCTTCCTTCTCAACGGTTAGAGAAGGAAACTTGCTTTTTTCTTTTCAAGGTAAACAGTTTAGGGCCAGTTCATATCCTGGTTCAAAGTTTGAACCTTGAAATCAGAAAGACCTGCATTCAAATTCAGGCAAGATGATTTGAAACCTTAGTTTCCTCGCCTGTAAAGTCGGGCCGACAATTAGATGGCTCAACCTCCTAAGTTTTTACGAGGTATATACCTAGGTGTATACCTGAAGTACTCAGCAGAGTTCCAGGTAACAGTGAGTGTTCAGAAACTCTTAAGGTACTAAGAATGGGAGGTTCACTCAGTGTTCGCCTTATCTGCTCATATGTCCGTTACATTTTTCCTATGAAAATGGGCTTATCCACTGGAGATCCCCTTGCAGAGGGGTCTCAGGGAGGAGAGGAGCCAGTCAGGGTGCGATGTAACAATGATGAGAAATACAATTTTCCTCTAGTTCCTAAAGGTTTCCTCCCCGCTCCCACTACCATGACTCGAATTCTATCTTGCAGGACTGGCTAGACCAGAGGAGGTACACTGGTACAGATAGGAACTGAAAATACAGGGAATCCAGGGCGGATGAGCCCTATAGGACCAGTGGTGTGAGTGGCAAAACAGGGAGGGTAAAGGGAGAGTGGGTAGGAAAGAGGGAACCGATTACATGGAACTGTGTGTGACCTCCTCCCTGAGGGACAGACAACCGAAAAGTGGGTGAAGGGAGACGTTTGACAGGGCAAGATATGACAAAATACCCATTTATAAACTATCAAGGGCTCATGCGGGAGGGGGGAGCGGGGAGGGAGGGGAAAAATGAGGACCTAATGTCGGGGGTTTAAATGGAGAGAAAATGTTTTGAGAAACGATGTACAAATGCGCTTTACACAATTGATGTGTGTATGGATTGGGATAACAGTTGTATGAGCCCCTAATAAAATGTTAAAAAAGAAAAAAAAAAAAAAGAAAATGGGCTTATCACTTTTGTAGAATAAAAGCATAATTAATTTCTGCAGTTAAACACACTAATAGAAAATGCTATATAAAACAGGCTAAAACACAGTTCAGAAGCGGGAAGGAGTAGGACATAGGAGGAATGGAAAAGGGAAACACAGGAAAGTGATGGGATATGTGATATTCCACTGTGGGGGCTGCAACCAATGATATAGAAGAAAATATACACAATTGTTGAATGAATAACTGATTTTCTCTGTAAACTTTCACCCAAGTAAAGGAAAAAAAACCCAACCAGGTTAGTAGATCTAACAAGATTTACAAATGAGAAATAAAATAAAATAGCAGAGATTACTAGGAAGATTCACCAAGCAAAGCTCAAAAGGCAAAGAGAACAGAGAAAATACAGAATTTCATGGTGAGAGGAGGGTACTGAACCTAATGCCTAACCAGCTGTTCATGAACTGACCAGGTAGCTCCCGGTAGGAGCTAGGAGCAGGGCGCTTAAAGATACAAGGGGCTTTGTGCCTTAGCAGTGATGGTGAGTGACGAGTAAAAAGAATGTGGTTGCGACATTATTTGGATCCAAAATGGAATGAGTCTATCATCAGGCTAATGGTACTGTACAAGAGACTTGGGCACACAGTTCGCTCTTCCACGTGGTAAATGTGAGAAAGGAGCGAACTGGAGCAATGCAATACGTACTGTACTACCTGTGATTCCAGAAAACACGTACAGGGCAATACACAGGAAAACCTTTTCTGAAAGGGAAGCAAGCAAATAATCTTCCTCTGACCATGGAAAAGTGGAATTAAAAGATAGTGGAAAATAAATAAATAATAACAGAGAATGAAAAAGTTCCATAAATTCTGAAACACACACACACGTATTTTGACCTCAGCCTCACCTTCAACTAATTCATATCATTTCATATTACTTCCAACATTTTAAGAGTACATATCCAACAATAAGCAAGCATACCATCCTCTTTCTGCTGAACATGAACCACCCTCTGGAAGCCTGTGCTTGCTGTGTGGTATGCGTCCAGAGCGGCTGCTTTCTTGGCAATCTGTCGTTTCAACAAGTCTGGCAAACCACTCATTAGAAATTCACGCTTGGCTTTCAACTGCACGTCACAATCCTGAGATTTTTCAGATGTATCTTGACTTTTAAAAAATGATTTTGAAAAAGGAAAGCAAGGTCATTTAACATGTAAAAAGAAGATATTCTCTAGAAAATAAGCACATTTTTACTTAATGAGGGAAAATCCAATATATTTCCTGAATGCCCAGTGGTTAAATTCTTTTTGCTTATTACAAATATAAGTCTGGCAGTGTTAAGATATTAAATAAAAATCACAATATATTAAAACACAGACACACAAAAACACTGAAAGGACATCCATAAAAATGCTAATGATCTTTAGCCAGTAGATAAGCTTTTCCCTCGACTTTTATGTTTTTTTCCTATTTTTAAAACTAACTAGTGCTTAACTTAGAATTTTTTAATAGAAGACTTTCTACTGTAATTATTTCTAATACAAGGCAGGGCAATTAGAGCTCTGATTATTTGGTATCCTACTTTCATCTGATTCCGTTTCATCGGATTGCCAGTCACAGGAATCTTAAGTAAAGTGGTTAGGTGATGGGATGATGGTGGACGGGGAGGGGGGAGGGAGGAAGATGAGGAGCTGGAGCAGTGGAGGGTGGTGATGTGTCTCAGCTTGTATGCCATCCCTAGTCTGTCATACACAGATGAGGACTGTAATATTCTCTGTAGACTGAAATTCAGTCATTAAAGAGGATACAAACTTTTTTGTTTCTGTTTCTTCCCTATTTTGCAGAAATGACATCCAAAGCCATAATGGAGGGATTCGTTTTAGGAAAGAGAAGAATCAGTTTCCTTACCATCAATATGAAGGAGGAAAAAAAGTTGTAGCTAAATTATTAAGTACTTATAGCAGAAACACCTCATAATATGGATGAACCAGGAATGAAATGAGTCAATCACAAAAGGGCAAATATTGTATGAGACCACTATTATAAAAAGTCAATAAAAGTTATTGCACTAAAAGAAAGAATTATCAGAAGCGGGAGAGAAAAGCAAAGTAAATTACTGGCCAAAAGATAGGCGCGTGTTAAGTTCAATGAAGTGAAGGTAATACAAAATAAGAAGGAAATCAATTTTGATGGAGGTGGGGAAAAACACAGGGAGGAGTGTCAGGTAATGCAGGTAAATACTGCTATATACATAATCCAGCAGTAACAGTGATTGATGAACAGATACATGAACAGATATGCAGGTCGAACGGTGTGGGAGGAATGAGAGTATACTCATGAATATATATTTATATATGGTTCACAGAAGATATTTGTACCTGCGTATCTACCTTGACTGCAAATATATCCATGAATGAGGTTGACAAGGTTACAAACACTTCTTAGCTATTACCAAACACCTTGGGGGAATGAGTCACAGTGCCAGGAGGACCAGGACCAGGGTCCTGCAGGACTCCAAGGTCAGCTGGCTTAACATCGTCAAAAAGATAATGTTCCACATCCTACTTTGATGAGTAGCCACTGGAGTCTTTAAAGCTCACAGGTGGCCATGGAAGGTGCAACTATTGGTGTCTCTCAGTCCAGAGAAAAATGAGTGAAGAAACGCAAAAGATACATGGAAACAATTAGATGAATGGGCTAATGGACCACAAGAATACCAATCTCCATGATTCCGAAACCAGAAGAACAAGATAGTGCCTGGCTCCCACTACCAAACTGTTCTAAGCAGATTCCCATCTCAAGGTCCTGGATAGAGCGGGAGGCAAATATGGAACATAATTCAAATCAGAAAAAGGACCAGACTTAGTGGTCAGATAGCGACTGGCTAACCTCGAGAGACTATGACCCTTAGTCACATCTTCAAGTCCATGGCTCAATGTACAGCCACACAACATACGGACCTAGAGGGGAACAGTAACACTAAGGAGGTACACGCCTTAGAACAGTGGTTCTCAACCTTCCTCATGCCGCGACCCTTAATACAGTTCTCATGTGGCAACCCCTGTGAAAGGGGTTCTCAACCGCTGCCTTAGAGCAATAAACCATTTGAGATAAAAGGGCAGCATTTACACATGGGCAAAGAATGGTTAAGAAAGGAGGAGGAATGGACACATGGAGGAACTGGAATACATTGTGCATTGTATAATGATGCTACATCGAGGGGATTGTAGCCACTGACAGGAAACAAAATGTGTATAAATTGCTGAGGTAAAGTAAATGCAGGTAATAGTGGAACCAGGCAGATGCCTTCCCCATTTCAGGCTGTCATTCAGCAACACGAGCATTACAATGTTTTAATTACCATAATCGAGTATAAGCCGACCAGAATATACGCTGAGGCACCTAATTTTACCACAAAAACTGCATTAAAAATGTGCTGGAAAACTCAGCTTATATTTTGAGTATATATGGCATTTTAAAAATGTACAGGAAAGCAAAACAAGCGACCCAGGCCGATGGACAACTTTTTCACTGTCAAGCTCTTCAACCTCCTCGTGACTGCTAATCCACTATCTCTAATCCCCTCTATTCATCAGCACCTCCAACCCTCTTCATTCTGCTTCGACTGCTTGACCCATGACTAAAGAACACTCCTGACGTCTAATCAATGACCTGGACTTGCTTCTTTGTGGCACCTACCTGTCAAAAGTCAACATCATGCTTTCTCTGCACATGCAAGAGAGGCTAACGTCCCACAAGTGGCCTCCCGGGCTCCACCATAAATTCACGGTCTCGGTTCTAATGGACCCCCAGCAACGTCAGTAACTTTTACATTTTTCTGTTCAGCTCACTCTTCCGCTCTCCAAGAGACTATTTCAAACTTCCTTCATCCTTTTAATTTCATATCCTGCTCACTCCTACCTCCTCACCTTTAACGGATGACCAGATTACAATTTCACAATCCTTATCTCTTTGTGGCCACACTCAAGCCCTTTGACAGCTGTTTATCGCTCATAGGGGAATGACAAAATTCTTTAAAAGGTCCTACGTTGTCTTGCACTTACCTCTCTTTGCAGCTTCACCTCACATTCTAAGCATCCTTGCTTTCTCCACTCGTATCACACGGGAATTCTTTCCATCTTGGTACTTACTACACGCCCACTACCTAGCCAGCATCTTTGCATGCACTGTTCCCCCTGGCTGGAACACTTCTCCCCTGTTTGATTCTTACTGATTGTCCAGATGGCCCTTCAAGTCTCAGGAAAGCCTTCCATGAACAAATCTCCTTAATATAAACTCTTACAAAACTTAACACCTCTTTAGCATTTCTTCATGTGCTAGTCCAATTAATATTCACATATTGCCTTTCCTCGATAGACTATTAACCCTATGAGGACAGACAATACATCTTATTTTGTTCTCCGTACCTATGCAAAAACAGTACCTAGAACATAGTAAGCATTTAAATATATACTGAATTAATGAAATTTATAATCAGTTCTTTTAAAGATTGAGTTTTTCAGGTTTTTTGGTTTCTTTATTATTCAGCTGTTTATTTTGTCTAGAGATAGGCATAACAATTTTGCCGAAAACCAATTTATTCAAATGGCAATTGTAGCACTGCCAATATTGTCACCTTTTCAACTTATGAAAGCTTCACGTAGTACTTGTTTGCTTATCAAAGCAAACAAATAAATACAACATACAATCCATAAAATGTTTTTGTAATTTAAATTTGTATTGAACTCACCTGCTATCATCGAATTCAAAGATAGGATCAGCTCTTTGTTTGGCTTTTCTGGCAAGGAATAAAGGAGCGACTTTCACTTTTCCTTCGAAAAAAGAAATACTTTAGTATCTGTATTTTCCATCCTCAATCACTCCCAATTATTTCTACAATATGCCTCCATCTTTTCTAGTTTAAAAAATTAACCTTTCAACTTTAAACTTCTATTTTATTTTGCAAAATGGTCTGGCCCCAAATCAGCACACCAGTCTCAGAGTCCCCTGAGGTTGTTTTGTAAATGACAGATGCTCACAACAAAGCTCTGGAGAGTTTTAGTCAAGATGTCAACAGAAAGACCAGCAGACACGAACCTTTAAAATACTGACCCAGATGGCTCTAGGAACCACTCATTTAGTGATGCTAAATAGTGATGGAAATGCAATCAATTACAATATGTCCAATGTCCCTCTTTAAAAAAATTCATTACATGAGATGTTAAAACAGGAACATGATACAATACAATTACATTTTCTAAGACAAGAGATTAAATTTACATGATTTAGTATATCACAACATTCAAAATTTTCTCATAAATGGTATGAAATCTAATTACCAGGTACTTTTTTAGGCAACTGGCTAAGGTTTTTTCCTAGAACATCATTCAGACACTTAAGTTTCTTCTGATTTTTCTCAGACTGCTTGAAAGATGTAGGACTTGAATCTATTCTTATTACTGAATCCTAAGATAAGAAAAAATTAAAGCATATTACATATGTAATATAATCAGATATACAGACAATGTCGTTAAATTAGCAGTTCTACACATCTCTGCAGAAGTTATGAAACACATAATGCAAAGGGCAGTCTATGCCTACATTATACAAGTTTACGTGACGTGGGTTTTTTCGTAGCTATAAGTACATAATTAATGAACTGTATTCCAGATAAAATAATATAAACAAATCTAGAAACTTTGGCTACTCTCCTTTTAGAACTGACCATACAGCCTAGAAATTTAAGTCAGCTGTTTGACATCATCAGCACACATTTATTGAGCACCTGCTATGTATCTGGTACTACACCCACTTCTCACTTATCAACTTGGTTTCAGACGAGGTCTTGATGGGAAATCAGCATTATGCAAGATAAGGGGCCTTGCCACATCTTCCAGCTGGTGGTGCGGTAAGCCCCCGAGCTTGCAGGGGTTGGGAGTGGTGGTGGTGGTTGGTGTTATACCCTGACCACTGCTTCCTGCTCTGGACAGGGATTTACTTGTTCATTCTGTCAGTCCCAACCCAAAAGCCCCACATGGCTCCTTTCCTCCTCGTCCCACTGAACCCCACTGTACCTTTAAGTCCTTTCTGGCTACCCCTCTACCTCTCGTTATCCTGCTAACACCCTGCACATTCAATGGCTTAAAAAAAAATTGAGGACTGGTGGCAAAAGGCTTCTTGCAGCCAGTTATCACTGGGGCCTCCAGTAAATCACTCCTGGTGGCCCATGGAGGGCACCCTGGACCCAGCCACATGGCTCTGTATGGGGCTTAGACCACCAGAGTCGGCACTTGTGGGATAACAGATAATTGATTAAGTAACGAGTAGGTGTACAGCAAGTGCTCGGACTACACAGGCAAATGAAAGTCAGGAACTGGCTTCAAGTTTACTTCAGTGTCAGGGACTCAGGGAGGGCTAGTTGGTCCACGCGTAGAGTTTCACTCATTATAACACAGTGTGGTGAGGACAGCCCTGACTGAAGGACAGGTATGCCCCTCTCAAGGCTACCTCACAATGCTACCTTACTTTACAGTGATGTCCTTCTCTCCTTCAAGTGAAACCATCAACTGGGTGTCGCACTTACTTCCGGTTCCGACAGTGTCTTCCTTTCAGTAAGGGCCTGCTGTCTGGAAGAGCGCCTTAAAGGTGCTGCCATTTCATCAGCAGCCTTTGACTTGCTCATGTGTACGGCTTTTGCTTTTTCAATCAATCGCTTCGCTTTTGAAATATTTTTTGAAGCACGACTTGCCTAGACAAAATTTTAAAATATTCATTCACATCACTGGTAAACATCTATTTTAAGACCAATAGGAAAAAATAACGAGTCACATTAAATGAAGAACAAAGAAATGCATATTTAAGATTAGAAAATCATTAAAAGGTGTCCAGTTATACTTAGTTTGATTTGCCTTTACTCAAAATTTATCCAGCTAATTATAATTACATGTATGGCAAACACCCAGAGGTATATTTGTAGATGAAGTAAATGCTACTATTGCTGGATATTTCTTCAACAACACGGCATCTATTCTTTGCTTTTGGTCACCAGATTTAGGTGAAACCCTTTTCAAAATAGAAAGTCTAGTGTATCCAAGGCTCTGACTATTAAAACCAACAACAATAACATTATGTGTATCCTGACCCAAAGAAATTTTCAAGTAATGGAGAAGACTAAGTACACATAAATATAGTGAACATGGTATATGAGGGGTTACCTCCCCCTCCAAAAAAACAAATTCCACCCACCCCCACCCCCGTCCCAAGCTAAGTATTTCTTTTTTTTTTTTGATGAAAAAGCCTTATCACCATTAAAGTACTCTCCATTACATGTAATACATTTGTCAAATCTGTGATTCCATACTTGAAAACATTTTTCAAGCTCATCTGTTTGGATGGATGACGGCACCTCCCCTTTTTTCACCTCCTCTACGATGTCAAATCACTGTCCCTTCATGTCCCTCTTCATTTGCAGAAAGAACAAGAAATCACATGGAACAAGGTTAGGTGAGTCAGGTGCGTGGGGCAAGAGGCATGCTGTTTTTTGCCAAAAACTCGCATCCTGAAATGGCTGCATGAGCAGGTGCACCGTTGTGGTGGCAAAACTAGTCCCCCATCAGCCACAAATTGGACCTTTTTTTGTGGCACACTGTTACATAATCTTTTCAGAACCTCTAAATAGAAAGCTTGATTAACAGTCTGACCTGGTGGAACGAAATCCAAATGCACTATCTCCCTCACATCAAAAAAACAGGTGAGTATCATCTTGATCTTTGATTTCACTTGACAAGCTTTTGGGGGGCGAGGTGATGATGGCGTCTTTCACTGGCTTGACTGACATTTGCTTTCAGGGTTGTAAGAATTGCACCATGTCTCCTCACCAGTAATGATCTTGGAAAAAAACTCTAGGTCGCTTCGGAGCAGTGCTTTCAAATCACAGCATGTTTCCACTCGCTCTTTTTCCTGGTCAGTCAGAACCTGAGGCACAAATTTCACAGCAACCCTTCTCGTTCCCAAATCTTCCATTAAAATTCACTGAACCGAACTCCAAGATAGTCCGCATAAAACTCCCTCATCTCTTCAATGATCTGTTGTCAGTCTTCATGCACAGTGCATGAATTTTGTTGACATTTTCATCCGTTCGGGAAGTTGATAGACCTCCAGAACAGGGTGTTTATTTTTTAAAAACATTTTACTGGGGGCTCTTACAGCTCTTAAAACATTCCATAAATCAATTGTATCAAGCATATTTGTACATATGTTGCCATCATCATTTTCTAAACATTTACTTTCTATTTGAGCCCTGGGTATCAGCTCCTATTTTTTCCCTCCCTCCCCTCCTTCCCACCTTCATGATCCCTTGATAAATTATAAATTATTGTTTTCATTGCTTATACTAACCGCTGTCTCCCTTCACCCGTTTCTGTTGTCCATCCCTCTGGGGTGGGGGGTGGATTACACATTGATCATTGCAATCTGTTCCCAGTTCCTCCCCTCTTCCACTCACCTTCCCCCTACTCTTCTCGTATCGCTATTCCAATTTCTGCAGAATTAGGTTTGTCATCAATCGATATTTCACCTTTTTTGAAACAAGAAACCCACTTGTATACTTGAGTTTTTCCCAGAGTGCTGTCTTGTAAACTGTGTTCAACATCGCAACAGTTTCTGCGACAGTCCCCACCCACCCCAGCAGGAAACAAAATTTCACAGCCACACCTCTGCTCTCTTAAATCAGCCATGACAAAATATGAGGTTTGAGCAAAACTGCTTTAACAAAAAAATTCACTGTTAGCTGAGAGGACCTCCCAGGAGATGCCACTGGGTGCACTAACTCACAGTGAGTTGCTTGATGCTCATCTAGCGGGGGGGAAAATGCATCTTATGAAAATTCCGCCCCACAGAGCTTTTCTGGGTTGTTTTGTTTGTTTGTTTTTGGGGGGGTGAGTACCCCCTTTTACACTTAGTACTTTCCTTCAGAACACAATCACATCTCACGTGGATTACTCTAAAAGCCTAAATGGTCTCCTAGTCTCAACTCATGATCCTCTTCAATCTATTCTTTACACTGTAGTTAGTGTTTCTAAAATCCAAGTCTAATCATGGCTTATCTTTGATCTCAAAATGAAGTCCCAATTCCTAACAATCTGGAATCTACTTCCCTAAAATGAAAACGTGCTCTCTATCGCTCCATAATCTGCACACACTGTTCCCTGGCCATGGGGAAGTCTTTCTTCCCTTTTAAAGTCTCAGTTCTTGAAGTCAAGTATCCTACCTCTGTGCTCTCAGAGCATTCAGTGTTCACTGTATTAGAAAAAACTCACTGCCACCGAGTGAGTTCTAACTCATAGTGACCCTACAGGACAGAGCAGAACTGCTCCTATGGGTTTCTGGGGTTTTAAATCTTGACAGGAGCAGAAAACTCATTTTTCTCCAGAGTAGCTGGTGAGTTTGAACTGCTGACCTTGAAGTCAGCAGTACAACTCGTAACCTACTATGTCACCAGGGCTCACACTGTGTGTGTTTATTTGCCTGATTCCTCTTTAAGAATGTAAGCTCTGTGAGAATCAAGACCATGTGTATCTTGCTCACAACTGCATGCCCAGTACCTAGCACATAGCATTGCCCTTAATATGCATTGTATAATATTCACTCAGTGAGCCCAGAGCCCCTCTGAGACAATTCTGTAAACATTTCTGTTGCAAAAGCTGTTATGAACATGGGGCTCTTAGGAAAATCATTCATTCTCATGGAAACATGAGAAACTTTTCTCAGAAAATTAACTAAGGTTCCCTGTTAGAGCTAGCAAACAAGCCCGAGTAAGACTTTAAATACCAAAGGATTCTTTGGCAATCGCAAAGATAACATAGCCATTCTAGATCCATTTAATTTTGAGATTTGTTTTACTACAATCTTAAGGGGAAAGCCAAAATGAGAGTTGAAGTTGTCCTTCAGAATTCAGTTAAATAAAATATAGGAGTTAACTTCACCTCAGAGAAGTAAACCTTTAGCTCTGGTGCAGCCAGTTGGATTCCAGGCTGGTTTCCGTCAGGCCAAGAGCCATCTTTCTCACTACTCACTGTTGGATGACTCTGGGAAAGCACTTTCCTGAGCGACACACGCATGTCATGCTTCTGCATCCCATAAACTAGTGCCATCATCTCTAAAACACACGACATAGCAGCTCCGTTATTAAATCTAGGAGCCCTGGGGAGTGTTGTAATGAGCATTGGGCTGCTATCCACGCGGGAGGCAGGTGAACCCACCAGTTGCTCTGCAGGAGGAAGACCAACCACTTTGAAAATCCAGGAAAGATTTACAATCACAGAAACCCTACAGAACAGCTCCACTGTCTGACAAGGTCGTGAGGAGTCAGAATTGACTTGATGGCAGTGGTCTAGTTTTATAAGAATAATAAGTACTAAGCACTTGGAATATGATAAGCAGGTTTAAAAAAAGATAGCTGTCAAACAAAAATGAAAGAGATAGCAACTTTCTATAGCAATAGTTTTCACCACTTCATCTCTATCACTTTGGTACCATTTACAAAACATACACAACTGCACCTACCTATCCGGAGAGAATCTGATTCTCCCACGCTCATAACAAGCAGTCTACTTTGAAAGCGTAACTAAATTATTCTTATATATCACATGTGGCCAACTTTATGTAACTTGAAGTTGTGAGAAGTGTCAGGGTGGAGTCCAACTTATCAGTCAGGCCTGAAGACGCCTCTTAGGGAGTGTAGCCTTTTTTTACAAGACAGAGAGAAAAATCTCTCTTTGGTCCTTCACCTTCTTGCTTGCTGTGACCCTGTGTCAGCCTCCGGGGACAGCCTCATGGGGACCACTAACCCTGGGAGCCAGCTTGGGAGCTGTGGGCCACCCTGCCCACTGCTCTTAGATCTAGGAGACTCTGCATTCACCGGCCTATAATCTCTCTGCTTCCCCCTTCCCTTTCTCCTTCGTAGGCCTGCAGCTAAAGAGAGCTCTGGTTAACATTGGACCTGTGGACTTGAGTTGGACTGGGCTGGGACACCTTCTTGATATAAAGTTCTTTAAAAAAAAAAGAAGGGGGTTCTTTGTAGATCCTTGTGGTCTGTTTCCCCTTTCTATCCCACCTTCCCCTTACCCTCCTGGTATCAATACCCTCATTATTGGTCCTGAGGGGTTTATCTGTCCTGGATTCCCTGTGTTTCCAGTTCTTATCTGTATCAATGTACATCCTCTGGTCTAGCCGGATTTGTAAGGTAGAATTGGGATCATGATAATGGGCTGGGGGGAGGGGAGAGGGAGAAAACATTAGAGAACTAGAGGAAAGTTGTCTGTTTTGTCATTGCTACACTGCACCCTGACTGGCTCGTCTCCTCCCACGGCCCTTCTCTAAGGAGATGTCCAGTTTCCTACAGATGGGCTTTGGGTCCCCACCCCGCACTCCCCCTCATTCACAATGATTTGATTTTTAGTTCTTTGATGCCTGATACCCGATCCCATTGACACCCCATGATCACACAGGCTGGTGTGCTTCTTCCTCGTGGGCTTTGTTGCTTCTCAGCTAGATGGCCGCTTGTTTATCTTCAAGCCTTTAAAACCCCAAATGCTGTATCTTTTGATAGCCAGGCACCATCAGCTTTATAAAGTTCCTCCTTATACATATATGAATGTCACTAGTTTTGTTTCTCTAGATCAGGTGTGTCAAACTCAATTAAAATGCGGGCCATTTGGTGCAATAGGCAAGATTCACGCCGGCCACATCACAATTACAAATTTTGTTAAATTTATATTTTGAAGTGAGGATTCAGGAATATGGATAGAATAATTAAAACACTATATAATTGCTTTTATTTAAACATTTGTTTTATTTAATATATTCATAAAACTAAAATTCTTTTACCTGAAACTTGTCAGTGCTTTCCTCCTACTAATTTTCACTTACCTCTTATGTTGTGACCAGAAAATATAACAAAGTAAGTAATAAAAGACACAAAATGCTGGAGAGCTGACAAACGTGATACACAATTGTAATGGCTTCCCTCTAAAACTGTTAACTAGCGCTGCTGCTAGGTATGATTCTTAACAGCACAACCCAGAGTGCTCTTTTTAACCTTTTCGCTGTTGGGATCTGTTTATATTACGTGACACTGAGAGTGGCAGATATATCGCTTCCAAATGTCAGCGCATTTATACACGTCCACAGGCCCCCAGGAAAGGCACTGGGGCACGTGTACACTTGTCTTCAGTAGTTAAAGGGTTAATGAGGGAATTGTGTGTACGATATCGCCTTGATCTCCCCAAAGCGTTATTTTCTTCATAACAATTTTTTCTATTTTCATTCTATTTCAGAGTATCGCGGGCCATAGAAAATTATCTCGGGGGACGCCAGTTTGACACCCCTGCTCTAGACCACTGAAAATCAAACCATAACCTATAGACAGACTTAGGAAAAAATTATTAGGATGTAATTTTCAGAAAACTTATCCTTTTCCTCTTCCCCCAAGTAGAAAACTTTTCCTGACTAAATTATTCTCTGTACTTACCAATTGCTTTCATGTCACAATAACTCAATATTTTAATAAGCTACTAAGAGGGATGGGTAACAGTGAAAAACAAATTAGGATTGAGGTTAACCAAACCCAGTCTCTGAAACAGGTGAACCTTCTTTCGGCTTATTACTTCCAAAGAGTAACTTTTCATTGGTGTTGGTTAAAGGAAACAGAATACTACTCACAGGACTGTCTAATATTTCAATTACCTTTCTAGTCTGCAAAGTAAAATCTCCATCCGTTGCTTCAGATTTCTTAGATCTTTTCTTGTACTTTTTCTTAGATTTCTTCGGAGTACTAATTCTAGTGAATTTCATTCTGAAAAACAGAAAAGGTGTTCAAGAACATTCTCATGATTATAAAGTGCATGAGGTTCAAATACAGAAAAGAACTAAGCCGAGCTGCCCTATCTAACTGTCCCAATGCACAAAGACTGCTTTAACCTACTGATTCAAAAGGAAGCCAAACTCACCATTAAACACAGGGCAAGATATGACAAAATAACAATTTATAAACTATCAAGGGCTCATGAAGGAGGGGGGAGCGGGGAGGGAGGGGGAAAATGAGGACCTAATGCCGGAGGTTTAAGTGGAGAGAAAATGTTTTGAGAATGATGAGGGCAATGAATGTACAAATGCGCTTTACACAATTGATGTGTGTATGGATTTTGATAAGAGTTGTATGAGCCACTAATAAAATGATTTAAATATATATATATATATATATATATATATATATATAAAATGTTTTCTTTGTAAATAAGCCTCACAGAAAATTAGCACCATGACAGCTCTTCTGTTACAACTACCATGCGCATATATGCCATGTTACACGAGGCTGTTCTCCCCAACAACACACACATTTCTGATCTAGTTTCATACTCATACTCATGGAATGCACAGGATTCACATGGGAAGGAGCATTTCCCATGAGTAAGTGCCTACTATTCACCTAAAACACATCTAGAGCTCTTCTATTATGCCCGACTTTAATTAAATGTGAAAAACAAGAATTTTTGAAACCTTGTTCTCTTTTTCTTACAGAATACATTAGTTAGGTTCTAGAAAAAAAATCATTCTACGATATGTTGAATATTTTCTCTCTTCCCTGATATATATGCACAAGACTAAAGCTTAAATAGAATCTTAAAATAAAAACAAAACTTTACCTAATTGGACTCTCTGAATCACTGGAAATCATTATTAATTCTGCTGTATATAAATTATGCTTTCCCGGTAAACTGGCTGCTTTTGGAGTAGAAGCCTTTATTGGAGTGTAATCTTGTGCATCTTCAAGATCAGAACCTCTAATGTCCACTGTAGCAGGTGTGCTGCTGCTTCTTCCGGATCTTCTGGCTGATTTGGGTGTGGAAACATTTTTCAAGCTGTCTTCAGGTTCAGGTTTGGAATGTATAACTTTGACTTCCTTAGCTGGAGTACTGGTTTTTCTTGAGGATTTATTGTACTTAGGAGGAGAGGAAATCGTTAAAGGGTCATCTTTTACTGCATTTTCACAAACAAGACTTTTACTCTTGAATAATGCGCTGCCTTTGAAAACGTCTGTTCTCTTTTGTCTTAAACTCATTCTAAGTCTACTTTGATTTTGTTTATCTTGTAAGGAAGAGGTTATTTCTTTCTTTTGAGTATTTCCTTCTCTGTTTTCACTCAGCATAACCCGTGTCTCTGTTTTCTTACCCTTTTGCTTTAACTTTTTACTTTTTTCTTTAGGAAAGCTTCCTTTATCAGTATATGACTGTGATTCGCTATTACTTGAAACTTCAGTAGTAGGATTTTCCATGATGTTTCTGGAACTATTGCTACTTCCTTCCTCCTGGGAAGATGCTTCATGAAGGTCTTTCTTATCAGAAGCCTTTTTAACGCCAGTCTTCAGGGCATCGCAGGCTGGCTGCCGAAACGCTTTCATAAACTGCTGCCTTTCTTCCAGGGAGCATTTCGGTTTCACGGCTTCAGAACTTCCAGGATCCAGCACGGCCAATTCCAAGTCTGCCTCCTGTATAACCACGTTGGACTTTCTTTTCTGAGGTGTTTGTTCACTCTCAGGGTCAGAGAAGCTATTTTCCAATTCAATTTGTTTTTGTTTCAAGAACATGGGAGGTATTTTTCCAGTCTTTTTGGGGGGGGCAGGATGAACTTGTGCAAGGACAGTCACTGTCTTAAAGTGTGCCTGCGGGGAACCTTCACAAGTGTCTGTGTCACTTATATAACCACTTCTGCCCATATCTCCCATTGTCTCGGAGGGAATACAACCTGACCTAGTAGCATCTGCTAACTGGTGCACTTTGTTTTCCTTGTGGCTTTTTAAAAATTCCTCATACGAGACGGTTACTGTATTATCATTTAAGCAGGCCACCTGATCTCCAGGGCTTGCGTCATTAGCAGCACTCTCCAGTTCAATAGGTAGGGAAGATATTGCCTCTTTACTATCTTTACCATCCTTGTTAAGATTTAGTTCCTCTGCTAAAGGTAAACTTTCAGAGAGATCTATTATATCTTTGTGCTTCCTTTTTCTTGATCTCTTGAAATCATTTTTTGTGGTGCCCTGTTTAGGATTTACTTTCTTAGAGCTGTGTGTGGAGGTGACAGTGCTCGACTGGCTTTTGACATCTTGAATACTTTCGGCAAGGACCTCTACCTCTGTCTGGTGGAGTGAAAAAGAAGTGCTACCTTCTACAAAGTCGCTCTTCAAACTGGCCTCTTCTTTGCTATCATCACTACTAATTTCTATGGGGGAGTCACTTCCAGTTGGAATATTATTCAGTTGGTGTGATAAATTAACCCTCTTCCCTCTCTTCTTAAACTCTGTGTTTGAGGGCATTTCCAAAGGGCTCTTACAGCCTTTGCCACTGTCCACAGGCCGTGGCGCAGCTGACTTCATCTTACACACTTTGGGGAACCCACTCTTCTCCTTTGTAGGTGAAGTCTTTCTAAAATAATCCAGAATATTATTGGATTTGGGTGGTGAGAAAACCCTATCTCCACTCTTCCCTTGTGGTGAGAGATATTTTGTAACTGTTTTACAGGAAGATTCCTCATCTTCTCTCCTTCGCTTTTTGCACGGCTGCAGATTTAAAAGAAGAAAAAAGGCACTTATTTCAAGAATATCATAAAAGACAAATTTTGGACATAGCTCCCAAGAAAGGAAGGCTCGTTAGGTGACAAACATGATAGACTGGAAAGAACATGAGTTTTAAAATTAAAATCCAAAACAAACCCATCGTCCTCCCTCGAGCCAATTCTGACTCATAATGACTTTACAGCACAGAGTAGAATTGCCTTGCAGGGTTTGCAAAACTGTCAATCTCTTACAGATGCAGACTGCTACATATTTCTCCTATGAGTGGCTGCTGGTGGGTTCAAGCCCCTTGGCTATTGGCTAGTAGCCAAGTACTTTAACCAAGGTCCCATTCAGGCTCCTAATTTGCATACTAGAAAACAAATGTTTCCATATTGGTTACAAAATGCACCATAACTCTTCCTTTTTTAAACTTCCATTGGTTCATTTGACTAAACAAAACATTTGACTAACAAAAACAATGAAATGCTTTAAAAGTTAAGTAGTGACTAGGAAAATTATACTCCTGGAAAATTAAAGTGTAGTCTTGATACAGGAGCAGGTAGGCAGGTAAGTGATGAGAAGCAGAAACTATACATATTGAAGAACTTAAGAATGGTCAACAGTGGTATTCAAGGTAGTAGCCAAAGGTGGCATATTAGTATTGGGACACACATCTAAACATTTGGATCAATATGAGTCAAAATAAATTATAGATAAAAATTGTGCTCTGTTAAAATGAAATCATCAAATGATCTAGAAGAAAATACTGATGAGTATTTATATAACCCTGAAACAGGTTGTGAGGCACAATACTTCAAGCCAATGATTCTCAACCTTCCTAAAGCCGTGACCCTTTGATACAGTTCTTCATGTGGTGGTGACCCCAACCATAAGTTATTTTCGTTGCTACTTCATAACTGTAATTTTGCTACTGTTACGTATCAGGCGACCCCTATGAAAGGGTCGTTTGACTCCCAAAGGGGTCTCGACCCACAGGTTGAGAACCGCTGCTTTAAGCTCTGGAATCAGGCCCATCTAAGTTTATGTCTCCGCTAGCTCTGCCATCTAGTGTGTGATCTTAAACAAATTACTTAAACTGTTTAACCTTCTCTCATCTGTAGAAGAGATAATATTGCCTTATTACAAGGTCGATGTTAAGCCAAATATTGTTTATAAAACCTTTATCATACCTAACAGTACCATTATTAAATAGGACCTCTAAGCAGGCCACTAGCAGCAGAATCCATAATCTCAAAACTGATATAAATGACCATAAACAAAATCAAGAACTGTGCAATTCAAGTATCAAAAGCCCTTCCTCATGCCTAAGCAAACTGAATAGCTGCCTTGACTTAGCAATGATCAGCATAGCAATTATTATCAAAAAGACACGATTAAAATACGAGAAAAGGTCATTACAGAAGGATACTTTGTTATTGAAGGGCATCATCGGAAAGCACCGGCTTGAATGAATGCTAGAGATACAAAGGTGTAAAAATGTCAAACTCTATCTTAAAATGCTAGCCCACTTCTTCCCGGTATTAGGATCTTCTTATAAAGAATGCTTAGGGTCTTTCATTTAAACTTGCCAAGGAACATCAGTATGCCTCCCCGGGTCTTCTAACTGCAGTATATGAAGGAAGAGCTGCCATCCTGAGTGACTGAGTACCTATTACGGATCTTGTTTGAAGGAGAGACTAGTTGAAGATGAACTTCGAAGAGCTAAGCTTCCTTATCATAAACCCCGATCCGCCAAGTCATCTCCCAAGCCCAAACCACCGCGGTACCCCAACATTTCCGATCCGGAGACAGGCCATGACCCTCTCAACAGTTTACAACCCCAATGTTTATCGCCACTCTAAGAAAGGCCACGTACTGCAATTGTCCCACACAACGTCATCCCTGTGGGGGTCTCCCGGCAGACCTCCCTTTTCCCTCAGAGATGCAAAATCGGGACCACTCCCCACCCCCTACCAGCCGGAGGAAGACACTCGACAGACCGCGATCTCACCTCAATCTCGTAATTCTTCACCGGTGGGTGAGCAGCGCCCGCCGCCGCCAAGGCCAGGACCCCAACCATGCTCCCTCCTTCTCGGCACCCCTGCTCCTAAGACCTTGCGCGGGTCGGCCAGCTGGCCATGGAGGCGGACAGCTCCTGGAGGAGCGCGAAGCAGGGCCGCCGATTCCGTCTCGGGTGACCCAGTGGCCACCGGCCCGGAGTGGGTGCGGAGCCAGGCCCAGCTCAGCGAGTCGAGCGCGGGAAGAGGTGCGGAGAAAGCGCGGGCAGCGCGGCCCCTGGGGGGCGGCCAGTAGGCGCCAGTGCCCACCGGGCGGGCGCTCCGAGCCGGGACGCGGCGAGCAGACGGAACGCGGAGCGGGCCGCGGACTTCGCGGGGAGTTCTTGTCAATTAGGTTTTCGCGCCGTCCGGAGCGCGGGGGCGGGGCCTACGGCGGCCTTGGGACGCTCGCGCCTACGGTGCGCCGAGAGGGCCAAACCACTTGCCTTGGCGTTTGCACTAGGTCCTCCCGTGAAGATTTCAAAGCCAAGGGAGATTTTGGAAATTCTGATGTCCCATAGCTCGATTGCACAGGAGAGAACGTGACTGAACTAAGGTGCTTACTCAGTTGGTGGCAGAATTAAAGCCCTGCACGCTTGATGCCCCCTTTTTGAACTGGAAATTTGAAAATTACCGAAAAAAGAAATTACAACGATATTGCTACCACCAGAATGAAATGCTAGTATTTTGATGTGCGTCCCATATCGAGATGCGCCTGTTCCTCCGTCCCAGATTTCGATTTGGTACGCCTAATCTCAGGAGACGTTTCTTTCCGTGGATTTTGTCCTCGGGGACAGCCTGTCACATTAAAGATGACCAGACTGGAGAGAAAATGTTTTGAGAAACGATGTACAAATGCGCTTTACACAATTGATGTGTGTATGGATTGGGATAACAGTTGTATGAGCCCCTAATAAAATGTTAAAAAAAAAAAAAAAAAAAAGATGACCAGACGTCCCGCTTTTGGCGGGACAGTCCAGATTTTTAACAATTTTTCCCGCGTCCCGTGACGTTTTCAAAAAGTCCCGATTTTTGGACAAGCTAGGGTATATACGGTTTTCCGCTGCCATGTGGCTATTTCGCCAGGATATGAGTTTGATCAATGGTGTCCCGCTTTACCATTAAAATCTGGTCACCTTACATTAAAGTCGCCTTTACTTAAGCGTGGGGAGCACCTACTGTCGTCGTGGTTTCGCGTTGGACTGCTGTGGGGCAGGCAGACGGGCTCTCACCTCCCGTGAACAGTTTCGAGCTCGGAAACCCACGGGGGTGGGGGGTCATGTCTACCCTGTCCTATAGGGTCGCTGTGACTGGGCATCGACTCGCTGGAGGGAGGGAGTTTGAGTGGACGTTTGCTTCCTTTAATTGCAAGGTATGCAAGACTGGAAAACAAAGCAGGTAAAGGGGCTTGATCTACTAGTCACGGGAAGCTACCTTGTTTGATAGGCTTATGCAAACTGAAGTAACTGTATCCATCTTTAGGTATTCCAGGCGCTCTGCGTTAGATGTTGGGCTTCTAACCTGGAGGTTGGTGGTGCGAACCAATAAGCCCACCACCTGCTCTGCCTCCTTAACAACTTAGTCAGGGAGCAGTTTTCCTCTGTCCATGGGATTGCTGAGTTGGACTAGACTCATTGGCAGTGGGTTTGGTTGATTTCGTGGTATTCAGTGCTGTCCTCCAGTTGGGTTAATTTATGTGATTGACACATATTTTCCTGCAGTAAAATTAATAGCAATTAGGTTTTCTTTGAAAATCAATCCTGCATAAGATTTCTGGGATGGGAAGACTGCCCTGCTTCCTGTCTTCTCAGAATGTACTGTTTTATTGTTGGTAGCTTTAAAAAAAAATCATTTTATTGGGGGCTCGTACAACTCTCATCACAATACATACATACATCCATTGTGTCAAGCACATTTCTACATTTGTTGCCATCCTCATTCTCAAAACATTTGCATTGGTGGCTTTTTAAATAACTCACATGGCATATGAACATTGTCCTATAAAAGGAGGAGAAGAAGAAAATAGAAAACTACAAATGTCCTTTGACTTCTAACTCAGAGAGTCTCTCTTCCTTTCTGTCCTTCGTAGAAGATATTTAGGTTGTATCCAATTTTTTGTTACTCAAGTACTCTTGCCCATGTCTCCTTCGATACATGTAATGATTCTCTAGGACAGACATCTAGAAGTGGAATTGCTAATTTATAAGATATGTATCCAGTTTGTTTTTTAAATGTAATTTATTCTATTTCATGTTGTCGAGAAGATATACAACAAAACATACACCCATTTCAATAGTTTCTACATGCACAATTTAATAACGTTAATTATCTTTTTTGAGTTATGCAACCAATCTCTTCCTTTTCTGAATTGCTCCCCTACCATGAACACAAGTTCATTGCCAGCCAGGTGCCCTTTCAGAGAGTCCTGGTGGTACAATGGGTTGCACATTGGGCTCTGAACCACGAGATCTGCTGTTCAAAGCTCCCAAGTGCTCCTTGGGAGAAATATGAGACTTTCTGCTCCCACAAAGATTTACAGCCTCAAACACAAAGGATCAGTTAGTGTTTTACCCTTTCCTATAGGATTGCTGTAAGTTAGAATCGATGTGGTGGCAGTGGGTTTGGTTTGGGCTTAAGCAGCCTTTCTGACCTTTTAAGTTGCTGTTGCCAATTTGAGCTCCATATCGTTTGATTTAAAAGCACATACTGCTCACATAGACACTCTTTAATAGTTAAGCTGAACTGTTGTTTGGTTTTAAGAAA